ATATCCTCTGCATGTAACCAATAGGGATTTCAAAGGTACACACCTACTTTCCCTGAAATATACTGATACTGATACTGATACTGAGTTAAAGTTCTGGTTACTATCAAGTAGTTAGTAGTAACATATAGCAAACATGCACATTGATGAGTTTACAGTTACCCTGATAGAAGAACCAACTACAGTGAAAGTTCGACCGTCGATTTCGACGATGTCCACCGTGTGTCCCACAGCTGCAGCAGCGGTGGGAGCAGGGACGGTGACTTACGCAGGGGTTTATAGTGCCAGTAGACTTGCGTAGCATCTACCTACACTCTCTCCTCCTCCCCCGCCTGGGCCCGGTGTCAAGACAGAGTCAAGAAGACCGGAGACGAGGGAGGCCGCAGGTGGATGGCTCGGACGGATCCTCACCTTGGCGTTCCACCACACCCCCTGGTCCACACAACAATAACCAGGATTTGAACCAACACAACATAGATTTGGAGGCTGGCACGGCCGAAGCCGCACCTGGGCGTGCCGCCAACGCCTGGCTCGGATCCCACACTGTGGTGGGAATGCCATAAAGGCCACATTAAAAAGGAGCCATTGCAGCCTGACTCTCAGACCGCCTCCAGTAATGGAGGAGGTCCAAGGTACCCCATCAGTTGGCAACCTTCCAAGCCACGGCTTTTAGCGCACCGTGATAGCTTCAAGCGCGTCAGATTGTTTATAGTGAGGAAAATGCGCTGAGTCGTCGACCTCACTCTCCCTTCCCATTCCCACACCCCAGCCACTGTCCGAGCCGGTCAGTAGACTGGAGTGGGGAATGGGCGCGGTGGCTGACATGGTCGACTGACCATGCCTGCGCGGCCCCAGCACGACCTGGCCCCCCATACACACAAACACCAGGATTTCACACAACGGGGGTTGAACGGCGTGTCTCTCACATGCGTGAGAGTGCCGTGGAAGGTGCTGCTTCAGCCCGTCCCCAGCCCACCAGTCCGCCACTACACAACACACACACACAACGTGACGAACTGCGTGAACCGAGAACGGGCGTCAATCAGCAACCTTCCTATCCACGACATTTGACGTGTCGGGATAGTCTCGGACTCAAGTCACTCGTGCAGCCGAGGCCGCATGGGGACCGAGTCGAGATGCACACTTTCCACTTGCGTGGGAGGCGGCAGTTGAGTGCATGAGGTGTGTGAGGGTTGAAGTCTAGTGAGGTGATGATGTTAGGAGGTAGGGAGTGAGGGAATGTGTGGTGTGACCGGCGGTTGTCTACCGCAGGTCGTTGTGGATGCGCATGTGGCCGAATAGACCCATGCGATGCTTGAAGGTGCGAGGGCAGTGTGGGCAGTGGAGGCGAGTGCGGTGGGTGTAGGTTGGTGCTCCAGGCACTGGTTCGCCAGTCTCTGTGTGATGGATTCGCAAGTGACCGACCAGGCCGATGCGTGAGGTGAAGGTGCGTGGACAATGTGGGCATGAGAGGTCGACGGTGAGGGTGTCAGCTGTAGAGGAAGCAGTGGTGTTGGTGGTGGCGGTGGTGGTGGTCGGCGCG